TACCAGATCCTTTCGGTTTATGTTTTGCTATAAAGTCTTAGTTCCTGGGGTACTTTCTAGGCTATTTTATTGGGTATGGCTACACCTATTCAATTTAATGAAACTATAAGCACCCAAAACTATATAGTACCAGTAAATCAGTTACTGCCACACACCAGTGCCACTAAAATGTCTAAATAAAGTAACTGGGTATACAGAGAGGCAAAAAGATACCAGAATAGTTCCAGTGATCATCACTTGGGACTTTAAAGTATCATGGCATTTTAGTGGCAAGATAAGTAACGAAGTAGTTCTTGTCGGTACTTAACAGTTTTTGCCACTATCTTATTTTGATTTAAGACAACTATAGAGTTTCGGAAACTGTTATTTTAAAACTTTATAACGAAGAATACCTTATATGCCAGTTTTTGTCGTTCTGTTTTAAACCGGTGATATCTATATCTGTAACGTGTGGAGGGTAGCTTACCTCCACGACACTTAGGCCTCACTAGGCCCATTGTGCATCCTCCTAAGATGATAGGCACTTTCTAGCTCGTGAGCCAGCCTACAGATTAAATGTATTCGCCAAGAGGTACTTCTCTTATATCAGCCGGTGTTAGCCGATACTCGCCGAACACAAATCTTCTAATAAATGAGAGCATCGAGCAATCGTAAAGGATATTCTCGGTGGTCTCATCTTGTTTGCACCCACTGCAGAGTGTGGAATCTGACAGCCCCATGATATGGAAATGCTTCCACACTTGACAATGACCAGTCATAATGCCTGTGACTAGGCGCAGATTCTGTCTAGTCATAGTCAAGTATTTGTTTGATAGAAGGTGATAGTTGCCATTCTAGTTCTTCAGTTAAATTTTGTGCCCACCGTAATTTGAAACACCCACTGTGTTTGCTATTTCGCGCAATTTTACTCGACGGTCATCCAATACGATACGGTGGACTTTTTGAATCGAATCCGAGGCAATATCAATTTTTGGACGTCTACTACAAGATTCATCAGGCTTAAATTTGGCAATCCTGTTTTTAACCATTGAAAACAAAGCAGCGTTTAAATCCAGCTCTGCTTTGATTACGGTTCGTGTTAAGCCTTTCGATTGAAAGTATGTTTAAATAACAGGCCGAGGAATAAATTGAATGGTACATTTTTTCAAAGTAAAGTTAAAGGACTACAATATTTATTGTTAAATAAAATTAAAAATATAGAAAAATTACTTAGTAATACAGATGTTTATCCTATACATTTTCTATCACTACTTTTCCTTTTATTAACGAAAGAGATACCTAATAAAAAATGTGGAGAATTGAAATTACGAAAAAATGATGAACTAGGAAATACTTTTTTGAAGTGAATATAAATTGGATGAGAAAATATATCTCTTGTATTATTTATTTGAACAGGGAGCTATTCTCTGAGTTATTCTTCCTTGCGAGTAGAATCCCATCAAACTTTTCTGTTCGAATAATAAACTCCTCTTTTCGATATCTGAATTTGTATTTGTTCGAGGGTATTTTCGATATCTCTGTCGGCCTACGCGTTTTACTTTTTATGCTGGTTTTCATACTAAATTTACGATTCTGCTATGGATTATTTAGAGGATGTTTCCATAAATTACCGTAAACTGGGGGACATGTAGATCTTAACTCTGTGGTTAAATAACGAATAGAGATATACTGGAAAAGGTAAAAATAAGCAAGCAATATATTATGTGATTTTGTTCAGTTCCACATATTGAGAATATAATACACATATATCATATCTGGTTTTGAGCATAAACAGTATATTCATACAGGAATGTTTCACAAACCAGAAAATTCAACGTCTTAATACTACTATTGGCTTTCGGTCTTCCTTTCCAAATTAAATTATTTTTGGTTTTTTTACGCTACGAGTTTACCCCTGTGGTCCTCAGTCTCGATAAGGTTGAAACCACCATTTTAGCGTCTCTCGAATTTTGTTTACTTTTAGAGAGAGTTGTGAGTGACCTTAGTTAATGCATAAATGAAATGTCTAAAAGTTTTCTAATATGAACAAAAATGGTTTGTACATTATTGTCGTACCTTGGTCTCAATGTATCTAACTCAACTTTAATATTATCATTGGTTAATTGCAAATTTTTAATTAGTTTAAGCGGTTCAGTCGTTAAATAACTTTTAAGATATGGTTTCTGCACATCAGTCAGATCATCATTGTTAAATATCAAAGTGTTGTAAATTTGATAAAATGAGTTCCATTACGTTAAATCAACAAAGAAATTGTGAACATTTATTTGAGAAAGTTTAACTCTGGGGATGATTTGTGGTGCAATTACATATTCTTTACGTGAGTAAAATTCAAATGTTTCTGTTTCATTTAGAGCAGTTCTTTTTAACCAAAGTTTAACTCTAGTGAGCACATCTTTTTGTGCATTACGTTTGTGTTTTAAAAGATCAAGCTCAGCCATTGTAAATAAAAATACTAAGTTCTATGAGCACTAAAAAATTTACATTACGGTACTGGTTAAACAATCTTGTTCTCATTAGTAATTAGGAACAGTAGACATATGATATTTCTTTCATTCGTCTCCTGTTTATTTTTGATGAATAACGTTAAATTATGCTTGAAGGCTATTCAAATTATAATTTGTTTTTCTACATACATATGTAGGTAAATACAGCCATTATTTGTGATTATTTTGCTCTAAATGAATGAATTACGTTTTTTGTAGATAAATTATTGTTGAAGAATTTTTTTATATAAACATACGATTATTGCTCTAGATATTAGAATTATAAAAAAATATATATATAAAAATATTTCTTTCAATCAGGTGATATTATTTTTTTAAGAAAAACAAGGAATTTTGTGTATTTTTCTTTTAAGGCAATTAAGATATAGTCCTTCATCTGACTACAAAAATCGCAAGAAACGCCTCAGTCCCCAAACATTTCGGACTCCCCACCACCGGTAATGATGTCATCAAATGAGGGGTCGCGAAACTGTTTTTCGGATAGACAATCAACTTAAACGCCATATTATTTTTTAATTAAATTCACTTTTAAATATATGTTACCTATTTATCAACAATTTACTAGTGACGAAAAAGAATGCATTACTGTCTTAATCACCGGAAACGCAACTGGAAACTTGGTCCCACCAATGGTATTTCGTTATGAAAGAATTCCAAGGGAAATAATCAACAGTATTCCTGAAAGCTGGGGCATAGGAAAAAGTGAGACTGGATGGATGACAGGCGAAACTTTTTTCGAGTTTATCACCAATGTTTTCTATCCATGGGTGCTGCAATCCAACATTACCTACCAATTCTTCTCTTTATTGATGGACATGCTTCGCACTTAACATTACACTTGAGTTAGTTCTGCGAAACTGCACAGATTATTCTAATAGCACTGTATCCGAATGCCACCCACCTCATCCAGCCTATGGACGTATCAGTGTTTCGAACCCTCAAGGACGGTTGGAACTATAAAGTTTTATCAGTGGAGGTTAGCTAATTTCGATACACCAGTTCTCAAAAAGGTCAACTTTTGTACGTTGTTATCTGAACTTTTAAAAGAAAGAGCAAAACAGTCTGTTCTTTAAAACGGATTTCGTAAGTCATGCCTTGCTTCTTGGAATCCAAATGCCATAAAATTAATGGAAACTCACGCAAATAATCGAGCCAATAATGATAACTTACCTCAAGAATGACAGGGACTCAAGAATAAAATATTTAGAAACTGGTATAAAGTTTCTAGAAGACAACATCGACAAAGAAAAAATTTTAGCTTCCAAAACTAGTGACGAATGAAAAGGAAATATGGAAGACGATTTCCTATTTAATTTTTTTAAAGTTAAAACAACTGAACTAGAAAGTCTTAAATTACAGGGCCAGACAGAAAAAACCAGAGCGATGAGCAAAATGATACAAGAGAAGATGAATAAAATGATACAAGATAATATGAGTCAAATGATATAAGAGAAAAAGTGTCGAAAGAACTGCTGAGCTACCTGAGAAATCATCAGACATTATAAAAGTTTCAAATGATATAAGCGAATTTCTTATAGAAAACCTGTGAATTCCTTGTGCAAATAATAATATGACTGAAAGGCAAATTAGTGATAACAATAATATTGGTATTAATTTATATGCCGAACCAACATTTTTTGAACCGCAAAGGTATTTAAATTTCTTGATGGAAAAACAGCAAGCTACACCGGAAAAATCTAATATAAAATCATCATCCTCTTCCATTCAATTAAATCAACCATCTACTTCACAAGCTTTGGCACCATGACCATTCAAGCAAACGTTGTTCTGGCTAGGTTCTAAACAAACAAAACAGTCAGAACGAGCTAAGACAGAGAAAATACCTTCGGTTATTACAGCAAAAAATGGCAAGAGCATCATGAAAGGAAACAGATAAACAATTACAAAAAGGAAGCAAGAAAAACAGAGTAGAAGAAAGAAAACGGATAAAAGAAGAGCAGGAAATATTAAAAAGACAAAAGCAAGAAAATAAACAACAAGATAAAAAAAAGGCAAACATGGAGTTGTAGTTTGGAAAGCGGTGAAGAATGCCAGGACTCTGCCGATAGTTGTGACGATGTCAGTTTCTCGTGGGAGGCCAAGGAGGGTAACAGGACCTTGAAGCAGGTTAAAGAAAGTGCTTATGATAATGAACAAAACATAGAATTAAACCTTGAAGGTGATTTTGGGAAGGAATATAATACAACTTCCCTGTACAAAGAAGGGAATTACATACTATTGTCATTTCCAAGCAAGAAAAAAGAACACAGATATATATGCGTTATACAACAGGAGATATTAAACAATAACGAAATTGCGGTAGTAGCCTTAGTCGCCTGTAATAAAGCAAAAACACAATTTAGGCTAAATGAAAATAATGTTATACTCGACGAGTATTAGTTAAGTAGTTACACTTGATTTAATAATTCAAAGCAAGATGTAAGACATTCTGTAAACAGTATCATCTTTCTGCTAATTCATTTCAAACCTACTGACCTGCTTACCTTCATCAAACCATGAACTTATTCCCATCATATTTTTCTTTCCTATTACTTTCCCGGAAACTGACATCATTGAGACCAGCTATTGTTTGTTTCTTAGTTTTTTTAAAAATGGGAAACAATCGTTCATGAGAAGTAAAAATTACATTAATAAATGTGGGAAGAAAGTATTAATATCTAATTCAAATTAAAATGTGTAAATTTTAATTAAAGAATAGGTATCATGTTTTGTCTTTGAATTTTTATGAGACTCGTCAGAGACTGAATAACGTATTTTTCTGGACTATAATGTATTGCTGTAGATATAACAAATTCATATATTGTTTTGTTTCATTCATTGGTACTAATTTCAGAGCAACCTATTCAACGAGTTTTATTTAAATGTCATTCACGGTATACACTTACTCCGCAGAGCAAAATGGAAATTGCCCATTGACACTAAATACAAACTTACAATTTGATGTATTTACATCCGCACCTATAACGAGCACATCCATGACGTCAGCGTCAACCGGACTTTTTTTATTGTTGGAGACTGCTATTTCGATCCGACACGATGGGCTTGTCGGTAAATTCATTTCACTGAACTATGTGATAGATGGGAATGATTACTGTTATAGAGGCTACACTTCCTTTGTAGACATTAACGTCCACTGAAGGTTTATATATATTTTTTTAAAGGCATTTCTTGTATTAGCACGCAGCATGTTAATTTCATGAGTACATTTAAGTTACACGCAAGTGAAATTAGATAATATCATTAATATTCTTCTCGCAATACTAGAGTTAATTTTAGGGGAATAACCAGAAGCATTTGGTATTTACTGTGATGTGTTAGGTTATAAATGAAACTCGTTCTTTAACATCCTCCATCTTTACAAAATTAAACAAAATATTAAAATTGTAAACAAAGTATTAGGTACAATATTAAACCAAATAAACAACTTATTATTATAACAATAAACAAAATAAAAGTACTTGCATATCCTTATTAGAAACTAACTACTGTCAGAGCTTTATAAGTTAAGTTTTTTAGCTTTTTTTAACTGTTTGACCAGAGGAAGTTTGACATGGAAATGTTATATCAGAACTACTTGAAGCTTCTGAGTTATCAGAAGGGATGTCTTCTGGAATATGCTCCTCACCATGATCAGTTCCTTTTTCAGATTCATAATTAGATTCGACAGGAATAGGTATTAGAAATGGCCGATTTCTAGCAATCTTGTTTTTGATCTGGTCAAGTTCCACTGATATTTTTATTGTCTTTGATGTATACCACTGGTCGCCAACCTGTCGATCGCGAGCTACCGGTAGCTCGCGGAGGCAATTCTGGTAGCTCTCACAACGATTTTAATTTAAAAATTACAAACTGCAAAAATCAGAGAAGCTTCCGAAAATTCCACAAAAAAATCTATTTGTCATAATATCAAACATAAACAGCGGCAACGTTGCGGTGGGCGATCTGCCGCTGACGCCATCAAGCTAGAATCGGCTAGAACTGTCCGGCCGGACCAGCGCGTTAGTGTTCGAGAACGATCAGGATTGCTTTGAACGGGATAAATACGCACGGCGCAGCGACATTGTGCTTAGTTTAAAACTGAACGCGTAACCAACGTCCAGAGGTTGGGTTAGTATGGAACAACAAAAAATAATATTATGGCAAGCAGTTGTAAGAAGGTAAAGACATACCACTTTCATTCGGAATGGGAAGAACAATACTTTTTTACAGAAGTTAAAAATAAAAATGTGTGTTTGTTATGTAATACTTCGGTCTCCGTTGCTAAAAAAGGAAATATATTGAGACATCATAAAACTGTACATTCTAATTTTGAAAAATTGTTTCCATTACATTCTGCCGCCAGAAAGGAGAAACTGAAACAGTTAAAAAAGCAGTTAATTGGACAACAATCAATATTTTTAAGAACAGCCGACAAAAATAAGGCTGCAACTGAAGCATCGTACCGTGTGTCCCAGATAATTGTACAAAAAAGGAAACCTTATGAAGACGGGCAAATGATAAAACAGGCGTTTTTAGAAGCTGCTGATTCGTTATTTGCCAACTTTAGAAATAAAAACAAGATAGTTTCAGCTATAAAATCTATGCAACTTTCTGCTAATACAGTGATGAGACGTGTAGAAGTAATGAGCAATGATATTTTTTTACAGTTAAGAACTGACTTAGATAACTGTATTTATTTTTCACTTCAACTGGATGAATCAACAGGTGTCGTTGACACTGCCCAGATGGCCGTGTTCGTCAGGATGGTTTTTAGTGATTTTACGATTAAAGAAGATCTTTTGAAGTTTATTCCACTGAAAGGACACACTACTGGACAGGAGTTGTTTTTTCATTTAAAAAATATTTCTTCCGAGAAAATTCCAATATCGAAAATGGTAGGCTATGGTGGGTTGTGATAAGGGTCTGGTGGCGTTATGTCGTAAATATGAAACTTTTCCGCAATTTCTCTGTTACCACTGCATTATCCATCAGCAAGCATTATGTGGAAATTTCCTGAAACTAAACAACGTTATGAAACTAGTGGTAAAAATTGTGAACAAGATTAGAGCTCAAGCGTTACAAAGAAGATTATTCAAAACCTTGGCCGATGAAGTTGACTGTCAATACGGGGACCTATTCCTTCACTCTGAAGTCCGATGGTTAAGTAGAAGACGGGTGCTGAAACGTTTTAATGATGTCCTATCTGGCATAGTTCAATTTTTCAAACAACGCGATGAACCGACTCCAGAACTAAAAAATTCAATCTGGCTTAAAGATTTTGGTTTTCTCGTGGACATTACAGAGAAATTAAACGAACTGAATCTGCAGCTTCAGGGGAGAGACAAAGAACTAGCGGAAATGATTTCTGATATAAAAGCATTTATCAAAAAGCTGGAGTTTTGGGAACAAAACCTAATTAACAGCGATGCCAAGCATTTTCCTATTCTTTCAGAAAAAATATCTCAAAATCCATTAGAACCCTATGACAGCAAATAATATCATGTAGAAATAGTTTCTACCCTGAAGAATAACTTCAAAAATCGTTTTAAGGATTTCAACGAAATGGCTTTAGTAGCGCAGTTTTTTGTTTCACCCTTTATAGAAATTGATATCAAACAGTTTGCAACTTGTGTTATGCAGAACTTTGGCGAAGACATCGCTGCAACAGAAATGGAAGTAATTGAGTTTCAAAATGATTTAGTTAGTCTCAAGTACCAAATGTATCTGGCCTATTGTAAGTAAAGACAAATATTCAGTTCTATGCCGTGTTGCCTTGAAAGTGAAAGCATTATTCAGTTCAACCTATTTGTGTGAATCTTCTTTTTCCAATATGAAGTTTATTAAGAACAAATATCGCAATCGACTTACAGATGAACATTTGGATAATTGTATTCGAATGGATGTATCAAATTATACTGCAAACATTAAAAAAATTATCGATGAGTCTGAGTGTTAGCCTTCTCATTGAACGTGCTTTTTTATTTTTCAATGTTTATGTTCATGATAGTGCGTTACTTTTTTGTTGTTATTATTAACTATTTTTAAATCTTACGTGACATGCCGTTGTGGCTGGATAAAAGTTTGTGTTTATTTTTCAAACACCTTCGTTTGGTAGATAGGAATGTAGCTATGAATAAGTACGTACTAGTAATATTAGTTATTTTGTTATTAGTTTATTATTAGTACCTATGTATTATGTATTACCAGTTAAATAGTAAACTAATACATATAATGATAAATTAACTGTGGATTATTTCATTTACGTTGCGTTACGTGGCTTCCGTGTGGGTAGCTCGCTGTTTATTCCAAAATTAACAAAGTAGCTCAACACATTGAGAGGTTGGCGACCACTGATGTATACCTTTTCTGTTACCACATCTCTATCATAATACAATATTTGTGATTTTTGGTTTTCGTACATTTGTGTATAAAATTTGTTTGCATCTTGTGCTTTTGGTTTTAACACTTTGTGGAGGGAATGTTTGTCCTGAGAATCCTAGACATTAATAGTTGCGCCGGTCAAAGAAGATTTGCATCTATAGGCGTGTTTCGGAGATGAAGAAGTGTAAAATAAGCATCTTTGCCATTTGTGAATGATTTCTGTAAAGCTTTTTTGTATGTTTGTATATAACGTTCACTAAGGCCATTAGATCTAGGATTTTCAGGACTTCCTTTTTATGAAATTCCCATTCCTTGCAGAATGTCTTAAATTTGTGAGATGTATATTGAGGTTCTCCATCAGAATATTATATTTTTTTTGGAATTTCGTGACGAGCAAATATTGATTTTAGTTCAATAATTACTGTTTTATTTGAAGTACTCTTTAGTCGACAAATTTCAGGATATTTACTATAATAATCAATTTAAGTGAAATAGATCTGATCCTACTTCCTCCCAAGGTAGTTTAGGTATTGTGTGGAGAATTAAAAGTTCTCTAGTCTTATTGGTAAATTAAGCACAAATTTTGCAGTTTTTTACTACACTTTCAATATGTGCTTTCATGGATGACCAATATACAGATGGCCATAATGAATTCTATTATTTCTTAGAAATAGATCTTTATGATAATAAATTTCGTCTTTAATCTTATAGAATATTTTTAAGTTGTTTTGACAGAGTGTTCATTTCAGGCCAACCCTTTTTTTAGGAACCCCTTTAATGAATTTAGTTCATCATCTTTACTGGTTTCATTCTAATATTATTTAACTGAGGTTCACTTACGTTGAAAGATAGTGTCACTAGACATATTTAAGACTGTAGATCTAAATCAAATTTATTTTTTGAACTAGGTTTTACTGTGCATCATCTGGACAGTGTGTCTTGCCTTTTTTGTAGTGGAGATTAAAATCATATTTTTGTAGATTGCGATGAGTGATTTGTGATCAGTTTAAATGTTAAAGTTAGTACCATAAACATAAGTATGGAATTTTTGGTATGCCACCAAGATTCCAAGTAGTTTTATTTAATTTGTGCATAGTTTCTTTGAGTTAATATTAGCGCTTTAGATGAATAAGCAACAGGTTGTCCAGATTAGA